CTTCTTGTGATAGCGGATTACATTTGGGTGGAATAGCCTCAAACGTCTGGTTAACTGACTGTAGGCTCGGCTCCGTACAAGCTGTAATTGCCCTTGATGCTTTGAACTGTGCCGGGTGCTTAGTATAGACTTTCCGAGTATGCTTTCCCGCAGCTATTAAGTATGGATTCGGCGTTAGTATCATTTATTGCGAAGTTGCACACCATATCGTGTAAAATATGAAAGCCTTCCGTATTTATTTATTTATTTCTTATACATATATTATTTAATATGTTATTATTATTATTACTCTTTTTTTTTTTTTTTTTTTTGCAATACGGCTAAATTCATATGTTACCAAACTGTTAACCCTTTTACAGTTCATATATGCTCAATGCTTATTGATCATTCTTTGGTAAGTTATTCTTCGCTGTGTTACTAAATCTATTATTGTAGCCTTTCCTGTAACAGGCCCTTTCATTGTGGCCCAATTTCTTGCACACCAAACACGCGTGGACTCTTCCACATGCTTTCTCCTCTGAGCATGATTTTTTATTCCAATTTAAACATATTTCCTTCCCATCATACCACGTAGTGTCGGCCCAGCCTGGACGCCCGTATTCGATCCTTGGTTTCTTAGCTGTGAATGCGTCGAAATTCTTTCCTTCAGCTTCAATATCCCGTTCGAGTAATGTGGTGTCCCGGTTCATAACTAACGCAATTCTCCGGTCCTCGTCATATCCCAATACAGCTGAGAAGTTATGTTTGATGCTTAACTCGTTTATATGGTCCCTGTATGCATTCAATTCCTGCTCACGATTTTCGTACAGCACCAAAACTGCATCCATATAAACTTTGAATGCCAACAGCCATTCTGATATGTTTTGGAATGTGCCGCCCCGTGTGCGTTTCCTTATTGATATCGCTCCGCCGTCAGAAGTTTGTAAAATTGTGTCTTCAGCCATATGTTTCACGTTATCAACCATATTTTTGTGCGAAAATTCTTGAATATTTATGAACGAACCGAAAGCCAGAGACTTCCAAATCTTGTTAGTCAAACTCGGCTTCTGCGGGAGCATCTCAATCATTTTCTGGCCCTCATTCCAATTCGATACCCACCACAGCCGAATACGTTCAGTTTCTATGGCTTTCGGATTATACAAGCCTTGTACTACAGGAACTAGCTTAATTTCAGAATAATCGATAGCTGGAAATTTTCTCGAAGACACTTTAAGTTTTACACAGCCGGTCCTTTCTTGCTTCTCGTTACTCTGGGCCACCGGGTCCGCCTCAATAATTAATCTGTTGAGTGTAGGAGTCGAGGGATAATTACCTTCATTACCTGAACTTGCAATGCGAGTGGTTTCCTGAACACGATTGTGTATATGTTGCGTGCCTGCTGAGTTCACCATGTTGCCCGGGCTGTTGCTATTGAATTCATTGCTGCCCATATTAGCCTGCTCTAGTTGCGCAAATCTTCTGTTAATCGTTTCAAATTGCTGATCCATGTACTGACGCATCGATTGTACTATTGTTGTCGCGGTAGCTTGAATCATTGTGTCCATATATGCCTTTACTTCTAAGCTCAGTGGGTTCTCATGGTTCTGAGAATCTTGCTCCTGACTACTAGACGGCTCTGATGATTCAATTGTTTCCTCCGACAATGTTCTTCTTTCGGGCTGGCTGGCTTCCATAGCCTTCTTTTGCTTTTTGCTCATCGCGAAATAATTCACTTCTCGCAGCAGAAACGGCGGCTCTTAGCGCAGTTGCTGTAGTTACCTCCTTTTCTACTTTGTAGTTTACCTGATTCAGTCCTGGCCGGGAGTTGTTATCGATTACCATTATTGGTATGTGATTTAACATCATGCCTACCTGCATTTGGCTTCCGTATGACACAGTATCGATTTTCACATGCTCCCATTTTTTGCTGCGTTGGCCTCGTGATAGCCCGGCCCCGAAGAGCTTACCCCTGCTTAGCCATCTTTTCGATCTAT